CCCAATCCACCGCAAACTGTCAGGTGAGAGGAAAATGAAAATGGGGAAATTTTCAATTGAAATCTATCCGACACTGATTTTGCTGCACAAATGAGCAGACCTGTCTAAGTTGACATGTAGGAATGGTTGTCAAATCGATGACATGCAAAATTCTATTCCTGGCTGAACGGAAGAGGTGAAAAACATTTCTAACTCTCCGGTTTTCGGACAGAATATTTAATTAGGACAATTGACTTGACTTTGGCTTGGAGCCCTCCTATTTTGTAAGTCAAAATTTGAAAAAACTCGTTGAAGTATAAAGTAATTTGGGGTAATTGAAAAATGCAAATAATAGACATTTGTGTTTGATACAAATAACGCTTTAATGTCAATACTAGAAATGAAATGTTGGCTACTTTAGAATTGTAATCTATAATTGCAATATTCTATTTTAAAAATTTATTAATGCAAATCTAAGCCATCTAATTATAACAATCTAACAATTTAAAAAAAAAAAACACTAAAATTTAGCCGCAAATATAAATGATAATTGTGGTTCATTTTCTCTCCACTTACAAACCAGAAAACACAACTCCGGTCTCCCTCAAATAGGCAGAAAAGGCAATTTCGCATAAAAGCCGCAAACAGATGAAACCAACAGGGAAATAAAAGCCAAAAATGAGAGAAAGACTAAAGCCAGCCACAGATTCATCCCACAGGCAGACATACGAAAATAATACGTGCCATACCACTTTCAATGCAGTTTCCCAAACAACCTATAACCGTTGTGCTAAAATTGCAGAGAAAAAACATTTTGCATTTTCATTATCAATTGCAGAATTTGTTTTTGTTGGTGATATATTAAAGTACATAGATGTCATAAAATATAAAATGAATGATTCTTTTACACCTGGAGGTTTTAATCAGCTTCTAAACACTTAACTATTGCACCGTTTTGTATATTATGCTGTGTTTTCATTTATTTTTTTTCTTTTAATTTTATAAGCAACGAAATTACCTACAAGTTTAAGGTCATTTTTAAATTGTGTTAAATTTTAAAACGATATTTTTTTGTGTGTTTTCGTTTGATGGATTAAATAGAAACAACGCATAAAAATCTCACTCGGCAATGTAGAGCCGACCAGAAACCGGGTTTTGTGACGGATTCCTGGGGCCAGTTGAAATTAGCATTCATGTGGCTATGTGTGAGTGTAATTACCAAAGGCAACAGACACTCCCACCGCTTGACAGACAACCAGACCACCAGACACCAGCACCCAACCATTCAGCGAGGTCCAAACCACTGGAATTTGAGCCACCTAATTCAGTTCTGGCGTTGCATTATCTCTTTTTGGGGCGAGGCACCAGGGCCATCACTTGATAAATACAGTGCCTTGCAGGCTTTGCAGGTTCAAAAACTCAACCGCTTGTCAATCATATAATTATTGGCACCCAAAAAGACAAACAAGACAAACCACCCGGGGCCTCCCCACTTAATTGTTTTTGCTTGTTTTGGCTTTTGCGGTTTGTGCAATATTCATGAGAAAAGGAAGTGGAACAACCCTTTAATCCTCTTGTCAGGGGAATTTCTGTCGGTGGGTGCAATTTCTGAACCCCATTGACTGTCGACTGCAGTCTCGTTTTAATGCTTAAGAATAATTCCCCACTTTTGTTGTCGCCCGGAATTAAGTGAATTGTCAATTTGCTTGTCAATTGCGCATTTACCCCTTGAGGTTAGTCTGGTGGTTTTAAATTTGCGGCTCTGGCTTCGGTGGGTCAGTGTAGGGGTTTAAGGATTGGCTAAGGGTCGTTTATTTTCCCTTGAATTGGGTCAAAGTTGAAAGAACTTTGTACCAGACTTAGGGGTTGTTCTTTGAAGGTTAGCAATTATGGCGATTAACAAAATTTGTATCGTTTTTCTAAGAATATTATGCCTTGTTACATGTAAAGTGTACTTTGAAGTAAAAAAATAAATGAAATTAAATAAGCTAACTAAACTTACTTAACTATTTTAAAACACTGCCTATTTTTGCAAAATCATTTTATCGTGTATAAAATGATGATTCAAAATTCAGTTTAAACATTTATATATAACATTTATTTAATTACATTTATATTTTTACACATTTTCAAAACTATGTTTATGTAAGTGTCGATTCTAAGAATTTTCTTTAAACTTAACGCAATTTCTTTAAAACGAGAAAATGGTTTACCTTTATTTATATTGTACAATTAATTTGTACAATTATCTGTATAAGAGAAGATTTAAGAATAATGCAAGAAACAGTGCTTCCCAAAACTAACAATTATGGTTTTATTGATTTCATTTGATTTCCGTCATTTATTACAGCATCGAATTGTTCAGGCTTAAATGGATATTACCTGCATGCTGTAATCTAATAACCCTTTGACCTCTTTCACCGCAAACTGCAATTAGTTTGCATTTACACATGCACTACCAACTCTTACCGAATTTCTCGTCCAAAAAACACAGCCGAACCCCCAAAAGTAGACCGCAAAATTTTTATTAATTCCTATTCTCGCTGCCCGTGAACATTTTGCAGTATAATCCGTTTAGCCGTGCTTCAGTTATTTGTTTATACAACGGCATAGGTGAAAAATATAGGAAAATCCAGGCAAACTAAAGCCACACACACCACGACCGCCCATCTATCCCGCTAACAAATCCCTGTCATATTTGCGTTAAGCGTTGAGGTCCCTGCTGTCAGGACTGATTCTAGTTACTTGTGCTTTGTCCTTTGTCAAAATGCGGCTTAAAATATTTAGCGCAAATGTTTTCAAGACAGGTGCATGAAACAAATACACCCACAAGCATGCACCCAACACTGTATTAGTGTCATATTCACACATATATACAACCGCACATCCTATTTTAGTTTCGTGAAATCCGTTAATGAAAGCCAGCTCAACGTAATGGAGATTTATTGTTTTTCACATTTCTGCCACATAAACTGACTGTCATATTTATTAGATTACGTTACGTGTCTTTTCACGTCAGCATTGTTGGGTTACTTTTCTGGGTTTTTGGTTTCCAGTTTTTTATCCCATATCATGTGCATGTTCGCTAATGCGCTAAGTGCATTCTGAAATATCAGGAATATGATTTATAGTCCATTTCCAAGCGGAACTCATGATTTTTATGGCGCATACCGGTATTTACTACTTGGTTTGTTTGGCCGAGTTATTTTTGTTTTATTTGTTCTTACATTGTTGATATTGATTTTTATAAATGGTTACAACTAGTTGCTTTATTACTAGCAATGTTGCGAATAATTTTATGTAAGCCAATGTTTAGTTTTAAATGTTAATTAACAAACTACCATATAAGTCAATGACTAATTGCAATACAGTTGCCTCCCTCAAAATCCAATCACACGAGCACCCTCATTAGGCATTCATTTTACAAATCTTATAAATTATCAGAGGAGCATACAACACAAAAACCTTTCAAATTAATTAGAGTAGACTGCAATTAGTAGTAATTAAATCATGTTCAAAAGGCGGCTGACTTTTTCTGACTCTGACTTGTGTCTGCGTCTTCAATGCCTATATCCTGCCATCCTTTGCCATTTCCCTCTGTTTATTTAAGCGCATTGGCAAGGACTTAACCACGCACAGAGCCAACTTCAACGATTTACCTCTGACCTGCCGCCAGAAGATCTAAATGAATGGCATCCACCAGGTGGAGAAAGTAGAGAAAGGGGCCGACCACTTGACACACATACACATACACATATACAGATACAGATACAGATACAGGTACAGACACAGATACACCAGCGGCCAAGACGACAAAGTCAACAATGCGCCAAAGTAGAAAAGAGGGCTTTGGGTTAGTGGGTTTTGAGATTTCTATAAAGTAAATATGAAACACAATTCGTGAACATTTTTTCCTCTTAACTTACTTTTTAAAAATAAATAATTCTTATTGATTTTCAGAATTATTTGATGCTGTTTTCTCCTTATTTTAAAAAAGAAGCTAGATTTGTCTACATCTCAGCTAAACTGACAACATTATGTTTGCTTGAATGTCTATTCTGTTTTAGCTTAAGTCCTAGATCTTTTACTGTCAATTGCCTTTGCTTGCGGACGACACCTTTGACCAAAGAATTTCACTTCATGCTGCGGATAGATCCCACCCTACCTGTTTCTAACTGCTGCACAGGATATAGCAAATTGCAGATTGAGGAAATAAAAAATTATATGTTAAAAGATAAAACAGTTTTCTTTACAAATTTTTTTATTGGAATTTGAGTTTTTAGCAGGAAATAAATCTCCTAGAACATTAAAAAGTCGATTCAATGTTCTGAGTTCAGTCACTAGATTTTAAAGCCAATTTTTTTTTTCAGTCTCTTGCGGTTGTTTATGCTTGGCATTTAAATTCTAAGCGCCTGGCATCTTATTGGGTATGAAAGATTCGTCTAGCAGAGCACAGTTTTCCCAAGATATCGACAGAGGATGGCGAAAAGGATGGTGAAAACTACAACTCATGTATTTGATTTGCTTTTGGCTTTCGATTTCTGCTGTCACGTCTTGTCTCTTTGTGGACTTGATTTCCATCGACACCATAGTAATCTGCATCAGAGCAGCCGTTCACTTTTTATATCGATTGCCAGGGACATTTTTTGCGTGAACTTTGCGCCATTTTGTGTTGGGTTGATTTCATGTTAAAGTTTTATAGTTTGCTCTGAAACTTTTTCTTGCACAAAAAGTTTTCCGCAAACTGGCGACGAGAACACAAAAGTAGATAACAAATTGTACACACAATATTATGTGCTAAACTATTTTGACACAGGCACTATTAAACACCAAATGTTTGCGTTAATTTCTAACGCAACGTATTTGGCCCAGATCTGTAATTTTTCCAGTTGCCTCGAAAGTCTGCGTTTCCACAAATAAAACTAATTGAGTCTGTCGTTCTTTTCCTCTTTACCAACTGCCCCTTATAATGCGCAAACTTTTTCTCATATACATATTTTCTCTTCTGTATCTTTTTCTAGTCTGAAGTCGGTCTGACGTGCTATCCTGAACTTTCTGTTCCTGCCACCACCGCCTGGCCTCATCAAACGTAAGTCTTAATTTATGCTTAAGAGCTGCCTCTGAGTTGGGCCAAACAAGTCTGAGTTCAAATGAATGAATATCTTTTCAGTCGATGCTATCGAAAAGTTATTTGTTTAGGACAGGCTGTGTTGCTGGGGCGGAAAAGACGGCCCGAAAAGACATCAAAAAACAAAAGCCAAAACGATGACAAATGATAAATAATTTTATCCCAGCCAAGAGTGAGTGTCTATGACAGCTCAGAAAATGTGAATATAAAAAGAGAAAATCAGCTATAATATAAACCAAGATTTTGTTTTTAAAAATTTTGATAAGCAAATGTACCATTCAGATATGCTTGTTTTAAATAGATTAATTACAAAATTTCCTTTAAGAAATTCATTTTACTGAAGAAAATCACACAAAAATCGCAATGATAGACAGTCAAGCAAAAAAAAACAAGAATATAAGTAAAAACGGGACAGCTGAAAATGTCAAAATATTTCTTCTTATTCTCGCCGCTTGCAATCTTCTCTTTAATCAACATTGAAGCCAAATATTTGTAATAAGACATTGAAAAGAAAAGAAAATGGCAAGGAATTAGATTTGAATTTGAAGCTTACTGAAAGCAATAAGGAAGAAACATTTTTGGATTGGATAAATGCCTTGTTCAACCAACTCTTGATGAGCTGCCACGATAGCTGTAAAGCAAAAATGATTTGTGTAATGCCACCAGAAAATGTTGGTGAATGTAAACAAAGTTTTGCGGACGAAACAATCACCGTTGGCACTTTGTATTATGAAATGGACTTAGAGAGTGAATGTAAATAGTAAATTCATGTAAAGCAATGATTATTTAAAAAAGTTTTGGTCAAGATTTGCATTTTAAAAATGATTAAAGCAAAATTAATTATCCTGATTAAAAATTTACTGAATTACTCATGTACCAAATTAGGACAAACTTAAATCCATTAAAGAGCCTACCTTACGTATACGTAATATATTTGTTTGTGGCAATTTTAAAACCATTAAACCAACAATGAATAGCTTGAAGTACGGCTACTGAATTACGGCCAATGATTAGAAAGAAGGTTGCACAAAAATAACCGAAAAAGAAACCGGAAAATCCTAGCTCTTAGCCCAAAGTCATAAATTAGTTGTAACCGGAGAGCGAAAAGAGCAGGCGAGTGGGTACTGTAACATAAAAACGTCTGTTTTTGCTATAATTGGCCACATATTTTGCTGTCCCGGGCCAAACCAAACCAAAGCGAACCAAACAGAACCAAAACCAAACTCAGGTAACGTTAGTCCTGGCTTTTGCCAGTCCCCAACAAATGGGGATTTGTTACCATTACTAAAGCGAAGTGAGCGCGGCCCTTTGTGGGTTATGCATCCTGTAAACTAGAGCACTGTTTTCGGTCATATCAATATATATTTTCCACAGGCCAACAAAACGTAAACAAAAAATAAAATAGGATAGCAAATAAAATGGCTACAGCTTTCCCAGGTTGATGTTTGTTATGGAAATCCGAACAGGAAGGCTGAATGGTAATAATTTTGTAGATAGTTCCGTTGGGCTTCGTCTGTAGATGGAGATTTTGGGATATCACGTAAATGGAAATGACCCCTAAAGAGATTTTCTGGATGGCGATGTGACCTGATGAATAAAGATTGCAGGGTTGAAAAACTGTGATCTCTGAGCTGAAAAAGGTGGAAAATGTTTAAGTTACAGATTACAACCGTACAATTCGAAATATTAATTATTTTTGTATTTTATTAAAAAAGAAAACTTTAATACATAAATTACAAGTTTTAATTTAAGTCATTTAGTTTGTTAAATAAACTGTTTAAAAATTGTCTGATCTCCCCGTATTTTTTTTAAAACACATTTGCAAAGTTTAAGTTTCATGTTCACAACTTTATGCTGAAAAAGCAAAAGATATTGCAGAGCAATCTAGGTATAATTCATTGGTTACAATCCCGTGCATATTGAAGTCAGCACTTTACCCACTGAAAAAGCAATCAAAGGAAAGGGTCTAGAAGAGATACAGTGAAAAAGTGACTGCAAAGCACACAAATTGGCAAATGCCGATGAGTTTGTTGGTCCTGCAAAGGACATCACATGAGCTGTAGAAAGCTGGCCCAACTGAAATTCCAATTCAATAGCCCGCAAAAGGAGACTCACAGGAAAAACACAAACACATACAGACAGACACAAATTGAAAGACGCAGTCGTCTAACGATCTTCTCTATTTTCTTTAAAACATATTGGCAAATGTCGTTTGGTAGTCGTTATAAAACAAACACATACACACAAGTGCAGCTATAAAGACACAGAGACGGCTTGCACAATGCTCTCTCCAGTATGCCATTCTAATAATATAAACTTTACATAAATGTTTTCCTTGCAAATAGAACGGAGCAGCGAAACAGAATGGCTTGAGTGGGCTGCAAACAATGGCGTGGTGTGAGGAGGCGACGGGGTGGTGTGTTTGGGCGTGTGTGTTTCGGTGTGTTTGCACTGGACGCATCTGCTGAGCTGGCAATCGCATTGCAGTTTGTCAGGCGGCGAGTCAGTCAGTCGGCACAGTCAGTCAGACCCTGTCTGAAAAGGCTTTTTAGCTCACAAATAGTTTTCCTTTTTCCACGGTATCTGTTAGTCAGGGGGAAAGAGTAGACAATTTATGGAAAATGTCTAATGTGAATTTTCTTCAAAAGGAAAAGATTATCATTTCATGTTTTGGACAAAAGAATAATTTTAGCAACATAAGTTTTACATTTTTTACAGACCTTTTTTCAATGGCCCACAATTGTTATAAATTTCACAAATCTCCTTTATTTTTATTACGTTTTTTAAAATTACCTAAGATAAAGTTTAGTTTTTAAATTTTTAACAGTCATTTTATCACGGCCCACAATTGTTAAATTGTTTCGCACCTAATAAGGTTTTATTAAGTTTTTTTTTTTTTTGAAATTGTCTAAGATAAAGTTTAAACTTAATATTTGTTACATACCTTTTTTCCAATAATCTACAAGTTAACATAACTTCTTAGGTTTTATAAAGTTTTTTTTTTAATTACCTAACATAAAGTTTAGATAAAATATTACATAATCGGTTTTCCTCCAAATTGTCATTTTTTTTGTAGGCAAGCTTAATAACCGACTTCCTTTTCTTTACAAAAAATCGCCGCATTCTAATATTTGGGTTTATTTGCCTTGTGCTTGATAAGTCGCACATGTCGTATGATTGATTTATATTACAAAACACACAGACAGAATAGAATTTGTTGCACTACTGTGATTTGTGACTGTGCCCTGTATCTATGTTAACTTTGGTCACATTTTCGGAATGGAAAAATAGAAAAAATGGAACCAGAAACCACATCTTTGTGACTTATCTCTTTTTTCAGCTGTTGCGCATTTTCGGCTCTGGAAAATATCGAATTGAATAATTAATTGGAAGTGATTGATGATTAATATGATGTAGGGGAATTTTGAGGGTAGAAGAGATGTGGAAAGTGCTACAAACATATACGTAGGACCAAACACAATGCAAGTGCCCTTGCGATTGGCCCCGAACATCATCATCCTTTCACCCAACTAATTGAACAGCCTTGAGCTGCTGTCAGACACAGAGCACACACTCAGTCACATAAATAAATATTGCCCAAACAACCCGACCGACCGACCTCACCTGGCCAATCCTTTGCCTTCCGTTGCCACATCCTTGCAATCGCTTCATGTGGGTCATGCCGTATATTGACCACGAAATGGCAAACATTCCCGTGGTTATTTCATAGTTCAAATGTGTATGGTCTCTGGGCAAATAAATAATATATAGTATTGTGCTGTACTCCTTATATATATAGTACTATACATGTGTTGGTATGGTCGTAGGGAATATGCGGTTTAAATGACAAACAAAATAAAATGAAATACAAAATGGCGTATGGCCAAGTGAAGTCAATGATGCATGGTCAAATCTTGGTTAAGAAATACTATTCTGAAAATGGTATATAGGTTAGGAGAAAAAATTTGGCATATATATAAATAAATTATGCCGTAGATTTAAATAAGTTTTTTTTATTTAAGATAACTTGTTTGAATAAATTAAATAACAAATATTTGAAAATTAAGTTGACCAACTGTTAGTGTAATACATAGACTGGGTGGCCATTCGTGGTGGGTTCCTTGTTGATAGCTTTGTTAGTTGGGTGCTGTGCAATAAAAGAGAAAAAGGGGAAGACATTATTGGATAAAAAAATAAAAAATTATCTCTGAAGCGATTAATTTCCTTCGGTAACATAAATCGCAAATGTGAACCCCATATTATCCCACAATCTGGGTATTACTTACACCCAACTTTTACTCTAATTGACCACGCCTTTTCCGTTTTTTTGTGAACGAGGCAGCTTGTATTTAACTTCTCGGCTGAGTAATATTTCAGCCATGCTTGAACTACCCAGGTGATTTATGTCGTGTATGAAGTTGTGTTTTTATTGTTGGCCTTTATATATAGGAGCAATCGTATATATATTTTATTGCCAGCGGTAGGCGACGTCAGGTGGCGCCACCTTAAAACGAAACATAAATCTACAGAGTTGAAAGGGTTATAAAAACGAGGCGGAAAGCAATTTAAAGGAAAAATGGAGTTCATCTAGAGGAAAAAACTTTGTAATTTCTTTCCTTCTATTTGGTCAAATTAATACCCATAACTCTCTTAGTAGTTGCGCCTGCCAAGAGAAACCAATTAAGATTAAATTCTGCATAAATGATTGATCAACTGGTTTATATATGGCTGCATACCTCTAGGACTGTGACATTTTTTCTATATTTTTCCACACCAATTGAGGAACACATGTGTGAAATTGTCCCTATACAACGAAAGAAAAAACCGAACGAATAATAAAAAAGTGCCGTTGGCGCAAAAACTTCATGTTCATTATTTGTTTGATGTTTTCCCCGTGTTGCTCCCTGCCTGGTTTTATTTATTTACCTGTGCATTGGTATTTATTTAGTTTTTCAATTCAA